CAGCAGTTTCTTTAATGTCCTTTTCTCTGCTACTGTCACCAGAGTGTCCAACTTCATGCCGACTACAGAGCCAGCCTTTGTTTAGTTTTTCCAGCCTGGATGAGTCCTTCTATGCTGTGCTGCTCCCCCAGCACACCACAGCATAGAACAGTACCCCGGCAACCACCGACTGGTAAAACATCCTAAGGAGCTAGTGTTGGCTTTGTCTGTGAAGGTTCTAAGTCATCCAGGTCATCGTAGTCTAAGGAGCTTGGAAAGAAAAAAGTGTCTGGACTTCTTTAAGTTGCTTGAAGACATTTTACCTCTTATCTGAGAAGCTTCTTCAGTTCTAGAGTCAAATGTTGGAGAGTCCCAGATTTAAGCCATGTGGGAGTATCCCCCAGAGAGGGACAATGGACCCCCTAATGATCCCCTACCTAATTACATGAGCCAAGGTGTGAAAATGGGTGTAGTTCACAATCAGCTAAGGTTTTCGGTGAGCTCATTGTGAAACCTAGCCCCACCCTATCATGTGATTTCCTGAGGTCAGAAGTCCCGGGATGTGAGTGGGCATTAAGGCGTCTGGGAAAGGATCTCAGAACTGGATTATAGATGGCAGACAGTGGACATAAATGGCTTCTTTCACTCCTCTTTCAAACCATCTGTCTTCTTTGTCCAAAATGTGAATATTGGTATCCTCGAAGGAGTGACCTTTGACCTGTAGATGCAGATGGTCCACCAAGTCTCTTCCAGTTGACATGGTATACATATACATATATATACATGTATAGATATATTTTTTCCGGATCCAAATAAACAGATGCGACCAATTAGATCCTTCCATCTGGCAACAAGTGCACTCCTAACTCAAGTCATGCGCTAGTACTGATATGGAAATAGTAAAATAATACTTTACCTCAGTCAATGTTGTCCCAATAAGAGCTGAAATCGCCCCATTGACATCCTGAATATATACGAAAGCTTCAGATCGTGGATCAAGCCATGACATTTTCCCTGTTGCTGCTGCCTTGAGAGGATTGGAAAGACCCAGAATCTGTTTCTTCCTTTTCTTGTTTAGAAAGATCACAACCAGCTTATCGTCAGTTGACGTAAACGTTTTTTCACAGTGCATTTTTTGATGATGAATTTTCAGCAAAAATACAATGCATTCCATTACATGGCAAATTCAGATATAGTTCTGCAACCTGTTGGGTGTTTAAAGGCCTTTAGCCTTGTACATACTAATTAGAAAACTGAAAAAAAAATTGTGTTATCTCTTCTGTACCAACCACCTGGTCCTTATGCCCTGATATTGAAAGTTAAAGACCCTACAGTGATATTAATATCTCAGTGGTGCAAAGATGTTGGAATAAATAAGGGACGGATAAGGGCCAAAATTAATTATCTCAGTCTCATGTACATGCATTCTTTATTCACATACATACTCTATATTGTCAAAAGTATTCCATATACCCATCTCCAACTCATTGAATTCACATGTCCCAATCATGTCCATGGCCACAGGTGCACAGAGGTTGCCAGCTTTCTGCAGAATCACAGTTCAGTCACAATGACGAATCAACTTCTCCATCTGGCAATCTTATGAATGCCTAGTTTTGTGGCTGTGGCGCATTTTGTATAGCTTCTGTTCCTTTGTTTAGTAGCTTTCTGCCTTCACCTGAGAGGGTGTGCCCTAAGTATGTGACTTCATAATTAGAGTTTATTTAAAGAT